TCTCCACGGGGAGTTCGTTCCAGAGGGTCGGAGCAGCCACAGAGAAGGCCCTCCTCTGGGTAGTCGCCAGTCGACATTGGCGGAATTCGGAGGAGGCCTAGTCTGTGGGATCTAATTGGTCTAGTGGAGGTAATTGGCAGCTGTGTCTACAGCTCTGCTAACTGCTGTTTTTTAGAAGTGATTTCGCATTTCTGCAGCCATCAACTTGACAAGCAACTGTTCACTGGCACATTTCAAATTTGTTTTCTTTTAAATACATGCATACATGCACGCATACATCAGTTCAAGGAGTTCTTCCTACAGTAGAAAAGCTTTTGTGGTGGTGTCTGCCATCAGAAGGGAGAAAAGGGATGGTAGCTGGTTTTCATCCATCTTCAGCTGTTTTCCCGTCCATCACTTGAATTATTTCATAGGGTTCCTTACATTTACGAGAGTAGATTTTTTTGTGTGTGTGCCAAAGGAGAACAAAATAATCAGTCAGGTGCAGGTTTTTTCTTTCTATGACAGAGCCTACAGTCCAAGCTTTATCCCACTGAAATCGAGGGGGATAAATTAGGCATTTGTCACAGGAAGGACAATCATACTTCCTTTCTCAGAGAAATCTGTATTGGAAGCTCCAAGATTCATGTGCCCTACAGGATTTCTTCCAGGAGGGAAGGAAATTTTATATGTAGCGGTTCCCTCTCTTTGGTTGTTTTCCCCTATCCAATTTTCCCAATTTCTCTTCCATTGAGGCTAATGAAATAATTTTATGCTACTCAAGATTTACATCTCTCTGTAAGTGAAAAGAAGCAGTAAGCCTTTCCATCAACGTCAAGGATTGCGTCTTCTGAAGCTAGGCGGCCCTGTGCAGAGCATCCAAATGACATTCTTTAGAAGCAGTGGGATTTTCCGCTCTTCAAACATCTGCTCTTAAGGCATTATTAGACACAGCTTCAACTCCACATGGGAAGTAAATTGAGGCCTCTGCTGATTAGTTGATGGCTTCGCTAGAAGTAGTCCTTTATACTGCATCCTGATTTCCCCTCGCTACAGATAAACAGTTTTTAAATTTCACTTCTGTAGTAAGAGGAAGCCAGGTCCTGGCAATAAAAACATACCCGTGAAATTCTCCACTGAAGAAAACGAAGGAGTGGTGAAAGGGGTGTGTGTGTTACAATAAACACCTGAAGCTCTGTTGGCAATTTTTTATTAAAGATACAGTGGTTAAATTTACCACATAATAAGCGGGATCTGATTCTCACTGAAACAAATGGGACTTAAACCATAACTGACTTGTTACAGTAATTTTAACTAAATACAATTAACTTATTCTGGGCGCAATCCTTTTTATCTTAGATAAAAGATGCAATCCAATACTTCTCTTTTACTAAAGAAAAACGGGGTTCAAAAACAGGGGCAAAGTTATCCATACAGATAGGATACTGTGTGTTTTTTCAAAGACTAGACCCATTGAACCACATTGTATCATTTTATATAGTATTATACAACAACAAACTCAATACATTTCTCATTCCACAAGATGTTTTGCTTCTACTGAAGACAACTAACATAAGGACGTTTTAGAAAATACCACAGATGACATTTGCAAAATAGCAGCCTTTGTTCATGTTGGAGGATGAAGAGGAGGGGGAAGAAGGAGAAGGAGGAGAAGGAGAAGGAGAAGGAGAAGGAGAAGGAGAAGGAGAAGGAGAAGGAGAAGGAGAAGGAGA